GGGAGGAGGATCCGGTTCAGAGAAAGCCGCAGGATCCGGAAGTACGTGCTCGCGGCCAAATCGTGCCATTGGAGCTGGACTCGACGAGGGAGGACAGTTTACGCGCTTGTTTGGATGCAGTTCGGGCGAAACTTCCGGCCGGCGAAGATGGCAAGCAATATCCCTTTTAATGCTACACCGGCCAAGATTGAACCATCCCGTTCCGTTCATTTTCCCCATCTTTTCTACCATTCTCTCCGTTCCAATTTCAATTACGAGATGCACGAATTTATAGCGAGCGTTCATCGAAGGCTTGAATTTTATAAAGAAGGGAGAAGGTTGAAGGCCCTTTTAACGAGCATCTCTGGGTGGATATCGAGCGAAGGGATGAGTTGCCTTATTTGAACCAAAAAACCGTGTTCCTCCCCAGGAGGAACGTTAATTAAGTTTTCGTTCCAGGTGTACTCGCACACTCTCCTTTCCATCAATGGAGAAAACTCAACGAGGCCCATTCATTTCGATTTTTAACTCTCGTTATCGCGTCTTTTATCTCTCGTCTTTAATTAATTATATACCAAATGTCTAAAGGCGCGTGGGAAATTTTCCAAAGAGCGAATGATCCGAAGAAAGAATTCGCGTAAGAAAGCGAACGAACGTCGATTCACGGATCGATAATTGGTTTTTGGCGATAATTCCGGCTAGTTGGTGGATACGAAGCAACGAGTTTCATAAGGGAAGAGAAGAAAAGGGAATAAGGGTTTCCCCGATACGTTCCCCGCAAAGATTCATAGCCGTGAAAACATTTTCGGTTTTCTGGGAATAGTTCGGTTAAAAGAAACAATTCCATCGTATTCGGTCGTTGATAACTGTTCGCCGAATGAAATGAATTTACTTTTATCGATATTTCTCGTTGTTTCCCGTATACCCGCACCAATCTGCACGTCCCTACGGTTTATAACGTAATCGTATTAAACTCGATAGTCGGCTATAAATTGTTTTCGCTTTCTCAATTTCGCTTTCTCAATTTCTCTCAAATCGAAGGTAAAAAAAAAAAAAAAAAGAAAGAAAAGAAAATTTCAATTTCTATATAATTAAAAAACGCGTACAAATATTATATCAATATGTATGAATACATACTTTAGTATGAAATACCGAATTGCTAAATTGTAAATGTTCTTAAAAAGAAAAATTAAAAATTTTGTCGTCAAAATCCACTCAGAAAATAGAGAAAATCGTGCCATTGAAAATCCATCCCGACATCTCGATCGGTTGCCTCGAAGTATTCTCCAGGTGTTAAAAAACAGTACAAAGATAATGAATGGGATCGCGCAGATCAATGACCTGCATATTTCCTGGAAACGTGTATTTGTGTCGTTCAGAAATCGCACGCTGTATTTTTCCAAGAATTACGTCTGTCATTCTTGTGGGTTAAGTCGATGGGAGGAGGGCGCGAGCGAGAGAGATTCGGGTAAGAAACAAGGATAGAGACGTTAAACGCGATTAAAAATTACGCTTTTCTTTAAACGACGATATCTCGGGAACCGGAAGTCGTATCGAGATAAACGAAAAACCGTTTCAAAGGTCAAGATTCCGTGCCTCTAACGGTCTTACATCCATTAACATGGAATCGCTATCCTCCAAGGTTTATACAGGTTTAAATTTTTCTTAATTTTAATAGAGTTCGCCATCTCTCCTTTACGAGATAATACAATCGTAAAAATTTCACGCAAGCCACATCCTCGTATCCATCACGTTATCCAAAAGCGACCACTTAAAGCACGCTTCGAAGTATCAAAGTTTCAACTTTGCTAACTGCAGGTCTCTGGGCAATCGTGTACACTGGCGGGCTGGCGTTACCCGGTGCCATAGAGAGACAATCGAGTTCGGCGTGGGAATCCATGTTGCGACACAACTTGGTGGCGCCACTTAGGACCGTCAGAATGTTCATTCCCCTTTTACGCGTGAAAAGAGGTCTGGTTTCAATATTGAAATTACATTGCATTTTTATTCGAGTAGCCGAACTGAATCGTGTTTCACGAAAAATTTTCTTTCTTCTTTTTTTTTTTTTTTTCGTAGGTCGCATAATCTTTTTGGGCGATTCCACGACGAGTTACGGTAGCAAAAATGGAACAGGATTGGTGGCGTACAGCGCGTCGAGAAAAGCCGTAGAGGGAGCTGCGGAAGCATTAAAAAGTGAACTACAATCCTCCGGGGTCGATGTCGTTCTTCTTAGACCTCCACCAGTGAATCCTCTCGTTCTTTATAATTCGCCCGTTCTCAAGACGTAAGGCCTCATAACGTTACGCCACAATAGTAATTCTTTAGTTTTTATCTAAGGAGGGAAACACCTGGACACAAATATGCTGTGTAAATCTGGAAAACAATCGCTGGAATATCGCCATAGCTTATTGCGTCGAGCTGATAATCTACCGAATCGAATAGGCTGAATTTCTATATAGCGAAACTCTTGGGATATATAACGTTTCCAGCGGTCGTAATCCAGTCTGCACTGGATAGATGGTAGCTTTATATCGAGAAAATTTCGTTCGACGATCGATACTTTTGAATTTAACATGAGAAATCACGGTTATTTTCAGGTCTGACGTGGAGTCTGGAATAGTATCCTCGGAAGGGACGTGGACCGCGCCTGTATCTACGAATGCCATTCAAAATTCGTTAATCCCAGCGCTCACCTCACCCTGCCCTCACGTTTCTTACGACATGGTTGCTAAAACCAGACTTTTCTGTAGATAAAAATCAGATTCGAAAGAGTATTAGAATTAATTAATTAATTACGTTTGAGAATCGGTTATTCCTCGTTAGGCTAATGATGGTTAATTTTATAACGAATTAATACCAATACTAAAATGCGTTTAAATCTTTCTTCCTTAATCAATCTTAATTAGACGCATCAACACACGACGAGAGGCTTAACTTCCAATGATAATAAAATGTACAGTTTTCTAATTAATACAAATGTTAACCAAAAAGATTCGCCTTGTTATCCCTCGTCGTATCCCTACTTCAAGGAATCGCATTAATCGTTCGAACGAAGTTTCCACGAATCGACGAACCAAGTCCGGCTTAACTTCTGTTCAACGAACTGTTCTGTTCAATGCACTTTACCGTTCCTATCGTAAATTATTTAGTTCCCCTGTTATATAGTTGGTAATCATCGGAAACTATGTATATTAGTTTCGGTATCCACGATGGTATCCATCGCGCGAGTTTCACCGTGTAATTCGAAAGCATTTGAATTAATAACGAATTTGCTTGTAAACCGATACGGAATTTCGCCGATTACAACTGGAGGAATTCGCGCGAACCTCGAATAAATATCGACACCCGTTTCTCGAATGGACAATTCGCTTTGTCAACCCGTGCGAATTAATCCCACGAAATCCGTCCGAGATTTCTCTCGCTTCTCTCGCTTGCACAACTCGAAGCGATGAAAAAGAAGATTGCTCAATTCCTTTCCACGACACTTTGTTTCAAAAAGTTGTGTCGCCGTTGAAAGGCGCGCGGACACGCGTGGAAACAATTTTAAAGGTATTATCATCGCGCAAAAACCTTATTCTAATTAATCATCGGACCGTGGATAATCTTTTTCCAATAGCTTGAACGAGAAACAGACGCGAGAAGTTGGACGGAATCGGGGAAAGCCCAAGTTTCACGAGTGATAAAGCAATGTAATTTACATAATGGGGGGGGGGGAGGAAAGTTTGTCACGTAATAAACGTTAATACAACGTTCTACGATAAATCCGTTAATAATTCACGAGGCAATCCGTCAAAAATATTTCATATTATCCGTTAGCAACGTGCAGTTCGCAGATATTATCATCGAATCAAAGAGATATATTTCTGGAGAGTGGATGGAGAAGGGAGAGATACGAGAGAGAGAGAGAGAGAGAGGAGGAGTAGTTGGTGGAGAAGAAGAGAG